CTGCTGAAGATCCCTTTCCGGAGGTGTAGATGGCGATGGGTGACACTTTCTCGACGAACTTCAAGAGTTGAGACTTGGCGGTACCGGGGTCACCCAAGAGGAGTACGTTGATGTCTCCACGCAGCTTCATCCCGTCCGGCAGGATCTTCTTTGCGCCACCCATCAGTAAGCAAGCGATAGCCTTCTTGATGTCCTGGTTTCCGTAGATAGAGGGTGCGATGCAGCGTGCGAAGACTTCGTAGATGTCGGGCCTCCTGCTCATCTCCAAGAATTCTTGTTCCTCCTCCTCGGTAAAGACAGCGTTGCCTTTGCTGCCGTGGTCCACCTCAGCGTGTATGCCGACAGCGCGTATGTATGGGTTTCGAATGGCTACTGCGGCGTTGCCTGCACGCCTGGAGCCCTTCTGCTGGTAGATAGAGAAGACACCCATCACGGAGCACCGTGTACCCGGAACGACGCGATTCGCCAGATAGCGGTCTGCGGAGATCATGATGTGTCGGGGTAGCTCACCGACCGGGACCTGATCGGGCGCTTCTTGCAGCTTGAGCACCTGCTGGTCAATGAACTGGCAGCGCTCGTGCATGACATAGTAGGGGTCCAGTGGGCATTGTTCTCCCTGCTCGCCCTCTCCCTTCTTTCTACCACATGTCCTTGGGAGGGAAACGCCGGAGAAACCACCCGATACGGGAAGGATCTCTTCATGCTGGCAATTCCTGCATCGTATAGCGAGTGCGGTAGATTTGGACGAAAGCGTGGATGCGCCAATGATGATACCGGGTATGCGGACGAGTTGCGAGACGTTGGTCGCGGTCAGGTCGCGAATGGAGAGTTCTGAGGCGTTCGAGTGGAGGAGCAGCTGGTGTTCTGGGAGCTGGATGTTCTTTTGTGAGGGGTAGACGATGCGTTGTGTGCACGTCTTCAATGCCGACTCGAACTGGGAGGCATTAGCATGCGCATGCAATTCCAGAGCGTACGACGTACGAGGGGTATAATCTCTGCTGGGTTCTGTCTGAGATCGTGTGCAAGCTCTGGGCTGTAGCTGATCAGATGCGCGACGTCAATGTCGCAATAGTATTGCTTCAAGAGCACGTTCTCGCGGATTTGATCTCTGCAAACGGTTAGACGACTACATATGGCATGCGCGACTGCCTGTCGTACCTGTAGACGAAGATGTTGTCCAGGGTAAAGTCCATAATAAAGTCGACAAGCGCTTGGTGCACGCGCGAGGGTGCAGCTGCATCACCGGGCCCATCGCCGGCTTGGCTGCCGAAGAGACTGATGGAGAAGGGAGTCTGTCTGTCCGCCATTATGTGTATCGTGCGTCTCGTCAGTCGTAATGGTGGTTGTAGAGGGGCAAACACACGCTGTCGCTAGGGGGACAAGGACCAGACGCGCTTTCCTCGCGATTTCGCGCTAGGCCCGCGCGCTTTCCATTTTACACCTGTCTTTGGCCTAGCGCACCCCTCGAGGACCCTACAACCCTTCTTCATCGCTCAACGCGTGCTGGCTGCGGCAGCCAGGAAAATACGACATCACTTGTGACCATCGAATTGCAAGCCGAAAGATGGTTTTACGATCCGCCTGTATCACGCTCTTGACGCATATCTACTGCTGCCCGCACTTCGCATCGACCGCAAGGATTTTGTCACGTCTTTATCCGCCATCGAAAGTGTGCATCGTTCAGTGTCTCAATACTGAAGCATGTTCTTGAATAGAAAAGATGGCTCGTCTTTGCTATCGCTCCCAGCTGGGCGATCCTACCACGTATGAACACGAAGCTCACCACGTGAACTCAAAGTCCATCATCTGGTCCGCCTTCGTTTCCAACCTTATCTTACCACCAGGTACTCCCTGAATCGCCCCAGAGCTAGCCGTAACAACATCTCCAGCTACCGTACTGTTCCTCGACCCAGCATCATACTTGACCACCACAGCCCCACCAACCCGACTCATCATCTTCATCTTGCTAGTCCTGCCATCCACCCAGTCCAAATCGAATACGAAGCCACCTCTGGCAACAAGCCCCGAAACACTTCCCGAACTCCATTGCCCAGGTAACACGGGTAGAAGCCATACCTCTCGTACGCCCTCTTCATCCACGATATGCGACTGAAGTAGTGCTTCCGCCACACCACTCACGAAGCCCAGATTACCATCAATCTGGAACACACCCTCATTAACATCCATCAGGTTGTTATACACACTGGTGTTGAAGAATTGATAAATATTCTCAGCCAGCGCCGTCTGGTTCTGCAACCGCGCGTACCAGTTGATCGTCCATGCGCGCGACCATCCTGTCCCAGCGCCGTTGTGAGAGAGTCGGTCTTCGAGAGTAGCCGCAGCGGCTTTGAAGAGCTTCGCGTCGTAGCCTGGCGCACCGGGTGGGAAGATCTGCGTGCCTGGATAGAGTGCGTATAAGTGGCTCACGTGGCGATGGCCTGGTTCTGCTTGCTCATAGTCCTGCATCCACTCCTGCAACGTGCCCGGATAGCGCGTTGAGTAGCGGTATGGTGGAAGTTTCGCTTGGGTGTCTCGGACTCGTTGTAGGAACAATGAGTCGACGGTGCCATTGTTGAGAGTGGAGACCGCTCGGAGGTAGTTCGTAAAAAGCTCGTTGAGGATTTCGATATCGCAAGTTGGCGCGATGTCGAAATAGTAGGTCTTTCCATCTGCGGCGATGTAACTGTTCTCTGGGGACACGGAAGGATTCGTGACGAGATACTCGCTTCCATTGATGCTGTATGGCTGCAGTGTATCGAGGTAAAACGTAACCGCTCCGGACACCGTATCCAGCCTTGAGGCTAAGAAGTCCTTGTCGCCTGTGTACCAGTAATGCTCGAGTATATGGGTAACAAGCCAGCCAGACGACAGCGTCCAGTAGGTAGCCGGAAGATAGCGATCCACAGGCGCAGTGTCACCCCATAGATCGGTGTTGTGGTGGCTCATCCACCCGGATCCGGACACATTGTACATTCTACGAGCGGTATGCATGCCATCTTTACGCATGAGGTCCAGATGGTCAAACAGCGGGGTATGCAGACTCGACAGACTGGTGACTTCCGCGGGCCAATAGTTCATCTGGAGGTTGATGTTGACGGTATACTTCGACCCCCATTGCGGCATGAATTCTTTGTTCCAGATACCTTGGAGATTAGACGGTAAATTACCAATGCGCGACGATGCGATCAACAGGTAGCGGCCATAGTTGTATCCTAGAGCGGTTAGCCCTGGGTCGACAGCTCCCTCGCGTGTTGCGTTGATGCGCGCGTCTGTTGGAAGACTACTAGCGTTTGCGTCGGATCCGGTGAATTTCAGGATGCTGGCATTGTACAATGGTGCATAATCTTCGATGTGGCGCTGACGAAGCTCGGCATATGTGTATTGACGGGCTCGCTGGATAGTGCTGTCTACAGCCATGCGCGTGTCATTCGATCGGTACGAAGTGGAAGCCGCAAAGTAAGCCGTTGCTTTCGTGGCATTGTCGACGACGATGAATTCGCCAATCGTCTTCATGTTGCCATCGGTATTGACTGCCAAAGCGGATGTGAAGATAATGGGATCAACACCGCCAGTCCCTCCAGTCATGTATGCAACTCCGTTCGCGTTCCAGTCCTGATCAGATGCCTCGTTCAAGCCGTCCTGTGGTCTGTGTACGCGGATCTGGAATGAGAGCTTCTCAGGTCCGGTGACATGTAAATGATGTACAAGTACGTCGTCTGGGGTTGACACGAACATCTCGCGCTCGTATAGTGTATCATTAACACTGAACTTGACACCCGTAAGTGCGGTTTCCAGATCAAGCCATCGTTCGTAAGTCGTATTGTCGTAGTCGCTAGTACCATCAAAGTAGACTTCCATTTCTCCCAGCGGTTGGTAATTCCGAACGCTTTGGGGCGTGCCCATCATACCCAAATTCGCCAGCTTTTCCGCATCGCCTGCCTGATCTCGTGCGAGCAAGTCTCTTACATCCGAAAGTATCTGGGACGCGTTTTGGTTCACGCGATCTCGAGGGCCACCAGACCAGATGGTCTCTTCGTTGAGCTGTATGCGCTCTTGTACGGGTATCCCGAATACCATGGCACCGAGTCGCCCGTTTCCTATTGGGAGTGCATCTGTCCAGGCATCAGAATCGGCGGGCGCTGTGTACCAAAGGCGTGCGTCGCTTGCTGCTACCAGGGGAGCGAGCCCTGAAGCGACTGTCAAGGTCGCCAGAGTTAGCATATGGACTAATTCCTGCTTCTGTAAGTTCTGAGCTCCAAATGATACGCTATGAGGGCTGAAGATATCAGGAAAACACTACGATTATGTACCTGGGATCGTCGCTTCAGCCCTGCGTCGATGAAGATTCTCATTGATGGACGATAATATGCCTGTCTACTGCGAATCCCATTCTGGGTATAGCGCACGATCCCCGCATTCAACGCTCAGTTCACACTTTTTGCTTTGCAGATCTTGTACCCATTGCCTGATGTCTTGCATGGTCTCGCATGCCGAGTAGCTTCGCCTACACTTCCTGGCCCGGAGAAGATCCGTAGAACACCCTGTCGCATTTAGCCTCGGAACATAAGATATGCATCATGATGTAGTCTCGCTGCACCAAAGACATGTAGCAATACGAGGTGTACATTACCCCGCACGTGTGTCCGACTTCCAAGTATGGGTCACGCTTCTCAGTTGCTTGGGAAGCGCGAATTGGTCGCTAGTGACGTAACGCGGATCTGAAGCTACATCAGGGGCGGCTAGGATTGTGGCGCATTTGGTATCGCATTTTGTAGCATACACGTCCTTAAAACTCAACATGTAAGTACCTCTTAAGGCGATGTATACTTCCACCTTAAGAAAGACCGAAGATTGCGACAAGAATCATAGCCACTAGGAGTGGCTAGGCCATGTGCTGAAATGCGCTGCTGGCGGTAGCTGTATGCACTGCCGCATAACCTTTTCTAGGCCTACGTAGCGAAGTTCCGAGCGAGATTCTATCGAATTGTAACCTTGACAGATCAAATGATATTGAAGAGAGTGAGGTCCTCTAGACCAAGTGCAGATCGGTCAGGACCAGTGCGAACGAGCCGAGGAACGTGACAGTCGCCCACCACGGTATACTCATGACAGAAGCCAGGAGGAAGATCGATAGAAGGTGGCGCATGATCAGACCCAGGATCGAGCTCTACTTCGCGCTGAAGCTGTATTGAACCGCTCTGGTATCGTGGACGCAGAGCAGTGAAGCTAGGACTGTCAGGAATCCGAAGCAGAACATCGCCTGCTTTTATCCGCTCTGGCCCCGTACCAATAGCGCCGTCTGCAGTGATGAAGCACGTTCTGCCAATCATGGCTTTTTCAGACTCAGTAATGAATCGCTCGACAAATTTTGGCGGTGGCTCGTCATTACTTGAACTTGAACCCAGATACAGAACAAGTGTAGCATGCTGATCGGACGACAGTTTCGGGAGACCGCCACGTGAACGTGTCAGCGCCTTCAGTAAATCGAGCTCTGGAATGTTCTCGGCAATCGAGGGTTCACTATTGTAAGTAGTGCAGAGTCGTGCCCAAGCCTCAAATGTGTGAGACGTGCTTACTCTTGCGACCTTGTCCATTTGCTTTGCCATGACGCTCAAAGTTTTTCCGTCGCGCATGATTAATTGGTTGCATTTGATCTTGGGTTTGTAAGCACTGTCGAAACTCCGATTGGTGTTTGGTTCGTAGATAGGCTGCGCACGCCAGTCAGGCGTCCATGAGGGTAGGAACTTCGACGATGTGGGATGAGCACCGGCAACACTCAATAGAATCGACGGATTCTGTATAGCTTCCAAGTGGGCGAAATTCATGTAGAGTTCCTCGGCAGTCATATGGTAGCTGATGGGGAGCGGGGCTATACTGAGACTGCTGAACGCGTAAAGTATATCGCGATCATCTGAGCACTTTGCGTCAGGAAAGCTGAGCAGGAGATCCATCAGCCCCCTGGGAAGAAACTGTCCTCGGCTTGAAGCTTGTAGATTTGCCATAGCACGGAGGCGATCGACTACTACTCTGTCATCGGGTGTGAATGCAGTTGAAGCAGCGTCGGATGGCCGCTGTAGGCGTTCAATGCGACGCACGAATTCTTGGAACTCGATCGACTTTGTGCCACGCGTCAATATCGCTTCTGGCGCGAGTCCAGTCTCCTGAATAACCCATCGACGATGGAACCAAGGGAGTTTGAGGAGACCCAGAGAAGGCTCCAGTCTGTACCTTTGGAAACTACTACGACCAGCCCCGGTGTCGGTGTGAATCAAGTGCTCGCTATCTCGCTGTGGCCCCAGCCAGATCACAACACGCCTAGCGTCCGCATATATGGCTCCCATCTGTTTGACTTGGCTCTCTTTCTCTTCCAAATCGGCCTGATTGATGGTAATTGAATCTATCCAGAGCAAACGGTAGATTGATGGTCTTCGCAGATACCGCAGCATGTCGGCCACGTTTTGGCGCACTCGAAGTGACTTGAGTTCTCCATCTTCTTCCATGACGGATATCGTCTCGGTGGTCATGTCAATGCCCCAAGCGTATGATATCGCCTCGTAGTGCGGATTCCAACGGGGTGATCTAGTGGCTTCTGAAGCGTCTTCTTCGCGTCGCGCCAAGTAACTTGTAGAATGCTCTTCGAATTTCGCCTTCGCAACCTCATAGGCGTGGGCCCGGCTTTTCGCATGATGTGTATCATCGGTACGCGACCGCGCGAGATCGCGATTCGCAAAGTGCTGAAAGGTTTTGCCGGCTTCTAACTCGTTGTGTGCTTTTGTTAATTCATTTTGGGCGTCGTGATAGGCAGCGTCAAGGTCGAAACTTAATTTCGCAGCTGGTGACAGCCTTGCGCAGTGGTCTACCTCGATCTGAATTGGGTCTTCGAAGTGCGCAGCTGAGTGAAGATGAAGAAGCCTTATATCGCTGGGGTGCTTTAGTGGCCGGTAGTGATAGGGCTCCATCGTGCGTCGAGTGCTACGAGGCGCACTTATCTGAAGAGCGTCGGTTTCAGGAATCGATAGTTCAAGTGCGGATTGTGCGCGTCAGAAGCTGTGCAAGTAGAGTTGTTAGGGAGAGAAGGGACTGCCGCGAAGGTGGCTCGGCAACAACGCGTTCCTGCCCGGAATGAATTATCCGAACACGTCATCAGAACGACACAACACCAGGGGTGGCCATAGTCCTTGTCGCATATGTGCTACCAAATCCCAACAACGAGACAGTCTTTAAGGCAATGGATATGTCTAGCTCAAACATTTTATAGCATGCGACAGAAGTTGTAGCCACCCCTAGTGACGATACTACAATACCATGACGCGTCGGGTTCGCGTAAACCGTCGCGTTGTCCTCACAGCTGATAGTGCGACGCGCCATACTCAACATCGCTCGTCTCAACGAGTCGGATAATCGCGGTGTCATGCGACTCAACAACTGCTTCGTACCGTCCTTTGAAGTTCCCCTGCTTTTTGCCAGTCCATGAGTCGAACACGGTGTATTCAGCCTCCGCATCCAACTCGGGCACCTCCGCGAAGTCGATGGCCTTGGTATGTGTCGCATTCAGTGTATTCAATGCAAACACATACACACCTTTGGAAGACCGCCCACTCCAATACTCAGCGGGATGCGTTTGGTTCCAAGTCCAGTCGGCGTTGATACCCCACTTGTACGGTTTGGCTGCAGCACCAAAGACTGAATCTTGATTGAAGTCGATGAGCTCCCCGTTGCTCAGAATCTCCAAGATTTTCGGCTCGATGCCGTGAAGAGGGGTCCCGATGATTAGAGGCGACTTCAGAGCAGCCCAGAGGGCGAAGTGAGATCGACTCTCTTGTAGGGTGAGGTTTCCATTGCCAACTTCAAGCATGTCCCAGTCGCCATGACCCCAGAAGTCGGTATCGTTGTTGAAGAAGGATGCATGGTTGAGGATTGGCATAATGCCCCAAGAATACTGATGTTTGTCGTACCACTCTGGGTAGATGTCTCCCCACATGCGCCAGCTATGGCCAGTCGCGTTACCCCATTGCTCGATGTGGGCATGGCCCCAGGCACATTGCGAGTATTCAATCGTACGATTTGTTGCGAGGAGGGCATCACTCATGGTCTTGTACCGCGTGAAGCTCTTCGAAGTCGTCCAATGGTAGTCTGTGGGTGCTGGGACAGGGCGAGCTTCACCGTCCCCGCCGGCGCTTTGGTCTTCGGCTGGCGGACCTCCCAACCAATTCTCTGGCCACCATCGGTACTCGTCGTCCCATTCGTCAGGCACAGCGCAATTATCGTACTTAAGGTCTAACCAGTATGAGTAATGAAAAACTGCTTTGAGTGATAATAGCTTACAGTCGATGCCCCAATCGGCAAAGGTCCTGGCATCTACTTCTTCGTGTCCCAGTGAGCCAGCATATCCACCGCATGTTGTGTCGCCAGCATCACCGTAGATGCCGACTTTCAACCCGAGCTTATGGACCTCGTCTGCTGTATGTTTGATGCCACCCGGGAACTTGGCATAGTCAGGACGGATCCTTCCTGTGCCGTTGTCGCGTTGGTTAGATTTGTCGGACCAACAATCATCTATGTTCACATAATTGTAGCCGAGGTCTTTCAAACCAAGAGAGATGAGAAGTTCAGCGACTTCCAGGATAACGGTCTCGTTGATGGCGCATTCGTACTCGTTCCATGTACTCCATCCCATAGCTGGTAGGCGGCCTGTTTGCCCATCTTGCGACACCAGCGAAAAGCCTGAGCCGGCCAGTGCCAATCCGATCAACAATGAACGCAGCGACATGCTGAATATAGATGAAGGGTGTATTGAAGAAGATTACCAGGCGACAAAAAACATCCTTATAAGATATGCTTCTTGTCTAAGAAGGATTGAAAGGAAGGACTGCCGTTCTCGAAGCGGAGGGAGGCTCCGCGACCGCTTCCGGAAAGCACTGTAGGAAACTGCCCAGTTGACATAACGATTGGGGGATTGAAGAACAGCGAGGAGATCAATATAATTCTTCCGAAATGCGGATATTCGTTGGGGTAGACCGACTCATCAGCGCAACAGCAACGTGAGCCAGGCGTTGCGGGGACCAGCAACCGGTTCAGCCCCTGGTATCGGCACACAGATTGACGGCCTGATTACCGTGACCAATGATCTCAGGATTTAATAGGGTGCAGATAACATTGTCTCATTATAGAACAAAAGCCGAGTTGCAATTGTATGTAAGAAAGAAGCTAAGAGGAGACCCTTCATGTTGTCCTCCGATCGGTCGGATGGCTGTCGCGCGATGACGTCATGATTAGCGCTTCTTGCTCTTTCCGCAACTGGACACCACCACCGTCCATATCATCGATCAATGCCTGTGGGCGTGTTGATGATGGCCGTGGTCATGAGAGTGATCGTGGCCATGGTCGTTTTCCTCTTCATCCTGCGCCCGCGGCCACTCGGCCCAGTAGCCGTCGTCCCACATTTCCTGCAGAGTCTCTTCCTTCTCGTCATCGTCCAACGAATCGTCATGCATGACTTTCTCCCATTTCTTCATCTCCTTTTTCGTCAAAAGGCAAGCGTCAAGCATCTTTGTCAACCCGTCGACGTCAAGCTTCTCTCCGATGAATACCTAAAGATTGGTGTAGAGAGTCAGTATTTGTTTCACATGCAGTTCGTACAGCGATCAATCTTACCATTTCTTGTCTGCGGTCGCCCCACTCTAAATATTGACATGCGAAGTTAGTGGATGTCTCACAAGTACTTCGTGAATAGGATACTCACCACCCTCGAAGTCGTTCCTGATAGCCTTCAGGGTGTCTTCGTCGGCGCCCCAGTCTTCTTCGGACACGCAGCAGAACCACGGCATCTCAGAGCCGAGTGTCAGCATTGCGCCTGCAGTACTCCACGAGCCCATCTGATTAGGACGCGTGGCGAGCCAGAAGAGACCCTTGCTTCTGTGTAGGCCGCTGAAGTAAGGGCAAGCCTTCTTGTTGGCCAGAATTTCCTTGTCATCCATTTGGGGAATTTCTTCGTCGTCATCGCTGACCTTGTCGGAATCATCTTCGGACGCGCTGGCTTTTCCAGATTCGGATGAACCATCGATGGCGTTGTCGTTGCCATCATCACCGTCTTCTTCTTCTTCTTCCTCATCCTCTTCGGCATCGGCGACGTCTTCTGCCTCGTCTTGCAGCAAGATGAACTTGCCCTGGATAAGCCGGTACAGCTTCATTGGGTCGAATGGTCTGCGAGCGCGATATACGAAAGAGCCGATGCCATATCTAAATCCAGGTCAGCATGAGCGAAGCTTCCGGTACCGAGTGACTTACTCAAGCGTCTCCGGCTTGGGTGCGACACGCTTTCTTCCCGAGACGTCCATGACGGTCATTTCATGCAACGACTGGAGCCATCCAACGCTTGCGACAGCCTCGCCGAAGTTGAACACGCCCGTATTGAGCATCTCGCGAACGTCCACCTTGGAGTACCTGGCTTCAATGATCTTCGCCTTCGGGTTTAGTGACTTGATGTATGCTCGGACGCGCCCCAGGGTTGCCTTGTCTGCTCTATCGATCTTGTTGATGATGATAACATTGGCAAACTCGATTTGGTCCGCGAAGAGATCGGATATGGTTCGCTGGTCCTCATCTGGGACTTCATCGCGCCCGAAGCGGTCTTGCAGGAACTCGGCCGTGTCAAATTCGGAAAAGAAGCGGAACGCGTCCACGACGGTGACCATGGTATCGACGGTCGCAATGCTCTTCAGCCCACCGATCTTCGCGCTGTGAACATTGGTAAGCTACTGTGTTGAACCACCGCCTTGGGTTCGACTTACACTTTAGCAAAGACTTCCTTCTCCTCAGGTTCCAGTCCCTCGGCGTCGATCATTGCCTCAGTAAGCTCGGTTGTGAAGGTCTCCGCCACTTGTTGTGGCTCACTGATACCGGAGCTCTCGATGATTACATGATCAAATGCGTTCTCGGACCAAGCCAGGCGGGCTAGTTCAACAAGTAAGTCGCTTCGCAATGTGCAGCAAATGCAGCCTGAATGAGAAGTTAGCGTATGTCTCGCATGAGGTTCGTACAGTCATTGTCTCACCATTCTCCATTTGCACGACCTTCTCCTTTAGACGTATCTCTCCATTACTGTTCTTGTTGTTGCCACGACTAACAAGGTTTGCGTCGACGTTGACTGATGCCATATCGTTGACAATGACGGCGATGCGCAACCCATGGTCCGGCGACTGTAGGATGTGCCGAAGCAAGGTTGTCTTTCCACTGCCCTAATGTTGTCAGTCTCAATCTTCACATTCCTCAGCTGTTGCTTACCAGAAATCCGGAAAGAACGGTCACTGGGAGCGGCTTTCGCTCGGTGGTCTTGTTCTTCGCCTTCATCTCCGCACCGCCGGTCTTTCTACGCTTCGGAGCTGGCATAGGGAATTGCTATAGTCGTCTTTACGTCGGTAACTGTTTTGAAACTCTCTGGAACTTGTTTTGGTGGTTTTTGTATCTGTCCCGTTACCGTTGTGCGCGTCGGCCACTGAGC